TAAAATTATACACAAAAATGTTGTTGGACATCAAGGTCTGTCGTATAGGCACACTTACTATTGTTAATTGTCTATTCACATTTTCGGTCGATTTTATTATACTTTTTAAAAACATTATTTAATAATATGATATTTTCGAATGTTAAAAAATGTTTTAATAACACTAGTTTACAGCAAAAAGTTATTTTGAACCGACTGGGTATTTTTCATAGATTTTTGAATGCTGAAAACAATACCGCAAGCCAAATTTTTCCAGCACATCAGGTTTCTAAAATAATTGAGATTTAATTTAATGTCCAAAAATTGCTTTTTTTGGTAATATTTGACATTTTTGTAAAGAAGGTTAACGGTATCTTGAAATTTCAATCAGAACTTATGAATATATTGAACATTCCCTATAAAATGCATTTTTAAAATTTTAATGTCTTATTTTTTAGTCATGTTACGAAATATTTAAGCTATAAGCTATTTCTAATATAGGGATATTGAGACAGCGTCACATGTGCATATGCGATCGGCGACTACTTTGCCATTATTTGTTTTTCTTTAGACCATTTCTCTTTCAGACAATTTTTGTCGATTAGTAATACCCCCCAAAAGTTAGCTGTGGACCTCAATATGGTTTGATTGTGAGTAAAATTTCATCGAAATCGGTTAATATCTTTTGGTTTCCTAACGATCTTGCAATTAGTAAGTTTATGCATTTCTTGGATAGATGTAGCAAAATTTGAACAAATATTTGAATTTTAATACAGTTTGATATTATCTGTTGTTTTTTGGTCACTGAACACGAATCCGAGATCAGAAATATACATTTCAAAATAATGGATCCGAAATATATTTTTATACAGTCCTATTTTAAATAATACATTAAGATTTCTCGAAAAATATGATAAATACGGAAAAATGTTTTTCAAATAAAAATTGTATGGTTCGGAGGGGACAGAAGAAAGTATCATTGATTTTATTTTAGGTGGCGTTAAGATCAGATCAATTTAAACGAAATTATATATATATTTTTACTAATACGATAATACGATTCCTCTAATTATTCTGCATGTAAAAGTATTAAGGTAAAGTTATCGAAAAATCAATATTTTACGAGATATTTTATACTTTATCATGCCATATTTCGATATAATATGAAATATCTCGTAAACTATTGATTTCTTGATAATAGTATCTAATATTTTAGGCACAGAATAATGAGATGAAACGATTGATATAAAGAAAACACACAGTTGTTTTAAAAAGAAAATATGTAATTTGCAAGAAATGCATAAACTTACTAATGCGAGGTCGAGAGGCAACCTGAAGATACTCGTATTAATCAATTTCAATGAAATTTTACCCAGACCATATTCAAGTTTATAGCTGACTTGGAGGATTATACTAATCGATTTAAAAAAAAAAATTTTTTTTCGGCCCATCTTATATATGTATATAATATTTGAAATTTTGATAAAAAGTCATGAATTTATTAATTATTATTTATTTCCCATAAAATGCATTTTTTCATTTCAATAGCTTATTTTTTAGTGATGTTATGAAGGATTTAAATACAAGATTTTTGTAAGCTAACAAATTTTTCGTCTGATAAAGTTACATGTACTTATAATTTCTAGTTGTGCTTATCGATGCACATACACATTTATCGTAACAGATTCTGCTATATGGCGCATACACACACACGCACACGCACACACACACACACACACACACACACACACACACACATTTATCTGTCACGATAAATTACATTGTGTATGTGCATCGATAAGCATAAACTATATAGGTATTATACGGAAAATTTGTTAGCTTAGAAAAATCCTGTATTTAAATCCTTCATAACATGATTAAAAGCAAAGCTATTGAAATGAAAAAAATACATTTTATAGGGGGATGAATTTAACAATACATTTATGACTTTTGATCAGAATTTCAAGATAACGTTAACCTATTTTACAAAAAATGTCAAATATCATGAAAAAGCCATTTTTTGGACATTAAATCTCAATTATCTTAGAAACTTGATATGCTGCAATTTTTTGGCTTGCGGCATCGTTTTCAGCATTCGAAAATCTATGAGAAACATCTAGTCCGGTGTCAAAATAATTTTTTGCTGTACTAAATTATAGTATTATTAAAACTTTTATAGATAACATATTTTTTATAGAAAAATAAATATAAGCATATATAGAATAAACTAATAAAATAGTACATAATGTAACGAAACAAATTAAATAATTATCTAATTAACGTAGATATGGAAATATCGTCAAGCGGAAAGATTATCCTTTTGTAGCAATTACTTTAGTCGTTATTTGAAAAAAAAATTACAATATAATTTCATGTATTGTAAAATCAATGAAATAATGAATTATGAAGATCTGTAGACAATAAGCAAATGGAAAATGAAAACCCTTTAAACTCAATTGGAAAGATCCGCGTGAAATCAATAATACACAGCAGTAGCTATTATTCAATTTAAATCGTTATAGTTGTATGAAATTGATATATGTCGTGATATATAAATGTTAATGCATAAATATCACGATATAAATATCACGGAAACTCGCCAGAAACTTCAAGAAGTAGCGCGAATAAGTTTCCGGATTTGGGACCCAAAAAGAAGGAATAAAATTATATGTATAAATATAAATAAATCCGGAAAGGAATTGTTTCTTAGTTATAGCTACTTTTATGTAAATCGTAAATAAATAATTTTGTCATAAATCGTTTTATGTTAAATTGTAATAAAAATTGTAATAATTATTATACACTCGAACCTCGATAATTGGAATCTCAAGGAATTAGAAAAATTGTTCGAGTTATAGAGTTTTCGACTTATCGAAAAAAAATTCGAGTAAAAGAGGGTTAACATATGAAAATTCGACTTACGGAGGCTTTGTATGAGAGTTTATAATTTTCCAATTATAATGGCTTTTAAAGGAAAAAAATCAATATTTA